CCAAGATGTTTTGATTTTTCTTTGATGACGGGGAGGCCCGTTTACACAAACCCAAAACCCCAAAACTTTGGTTTGCGTCGGGTGATCTGAAGTTTTTTTTTTTTTAAAAGCTTTTCAACCTGAATGATCCAGTTTAAGAACTAAAACCCCGGGCCCAAAAAAAGTTATTTTTTTATTGGGATTGGGGGGGACCAAAAAAGAAACATCGGGGGTTCCACAGAAAGGCCCCTAAAACTTTTCCTCCACCCTTTTACACCAACCCGTCACCCAAATCCTGTCCTCCCCCCCTTTCCTCCATCTTTTCCCCCCACCCCGGGTCCCCCCTTTTCTGTCCCCCCATTATGTCCCTCCATTGCTTTTTTTTTCCATCTTTTTCCTCTACCCTTTTTCCCCCAACCCCTTTTCCCCTAAAATCCAGTCCTCCATCCAGTCCTCCACCCCTTCCTCCATCTTTTCCTCCATCCTGTCCTCCAATATGTCCTCCATTATGTCCTCCATTGCTTCTTCCATCTTGTCCTCTATCCCTTCCTACATCCCTTCCTCCATCCTGTCCTCCATTCTGTCCTCCATCCAGTCCTCCATCCCTTCTTCCATCTTGTCCTCCATCCTCTCCTCCATCCTTTCCTCCATCCAGTCCTCCACCCCTTCCTCCATCTTTTCCTCCATCCTGTCCTCCATTATGTCCTCCATTGCTTTATTTCCATCAATTTTTCCTCCACCCCTTCCCCACCCCTTTTTTCCTCCTTTCCTTTTCCCCCATCCTTTCCCCCCCAAATCCTTTCCCCCATCCCCTTCTTCCATTTGGGCCCCTCCATCCTTTTCCCCCATTCCTTTCCCTTTTAAACCTTTCCCCCCCCCAAATTTTCCTTTCCCCCCCATCCTCTCCCCCCAAATTCCTTCCTCAAATTTCCCTTTCCCCCATCCTTTTTCCCCCTTTTTCTGCCCCTTTCCATCTTTTTTTCCCATCTTTGTCCTCCACCCCTTCCCCCCATCCATTTTTCCTTCCCCCTTTCCTCCATTCTTTTCCTCCCCCCTTTTCCCTCCCATCCCAAACCTCCCCTTGGGTCCCCCAAACCCCTTCCCTTTCCATTTTTTCCCCCCAATTTTTTCCTCCTCCATCCCTTCCTCCATCCTTTCCTCCATCCTTTCCTCCATCCTGTCCTCCATTCTGTCCTCCATCCCTTCCTCCATCCTTTCCTCCATCCTTTCCCCCTTCCTTTTCCTCCATTTCTGCCCTCCATCCTTTTCCCCCCCCATCCTTTCCCCTCCACCCTTTTCCCCCCATCCTGTCCTCCATCTTGTCCTCCATTTTTGCCCCTCCACCCCCGTCCCCATCTTGCCCCTCCATCCTTTTTCCTCCTCCTTTTCCTCCATTCGTCCCCCAAAACCCCTTTCCCCCTCCACCCCTTTCCCTCCATCCCCTTCCCCCATCTTGTCCCCCCCACCCCTTTCCCCCTCCACCCTTTCCTCCACCCTTTTTCCCTCCATCCTTTCCCCCCCAACCTTTTCCCTTTCCACCCCTGTCCCCCCCCCAACCTTTTTCCTTTCCCCCCCCACCCCGTCCCCATCCTGTTCCCCTCCATTTGTCTTCCAATTCCCCTTCCCCCTCCATCTTTTTCCTTTCCCTCCCTTTCCTCCATCCTTTCCCCCCATCCTTTTTTCCCATCCCCTTTCCCTCCACCCCCTTTCCCTTTCCATCCTGTCCTCCATCCCTTCCTCCATCTTTTCCTCCATCCCTTCCTCCATCCTGTCCTCCATCTTGTCCTCCATCCCTTCCTCCATCCTTTCCTCCATTCTGTCCTCCATCCCTTCCTCCATCCCTTCCTCCATCTTTTCCTCCATCCCTTCCTCCATCTTTTCCTCCATCCCTTCCTCCATCCTTTCCTCCATCCTGTCCTCCATCCTGTCCTCCATCCTGTCCTCCATCCTGTCCTCCATCCTGTCCTCCATCTTTTTTCCCCCAAAATTTCCAGTCCTCCACCCCCCTTCTTTCCTTTCTTGTCCTCCACCCTTCCTCCTCCATCCTTTCCCCATCCTTTCCCCCCATCCTCTTCCCCCTTCCCTTTTCCCTTTTTCCTTTTCCTCCACCCCTTTTCCCCCCTTTTCTTGTTTTCCCATCCCTTTTCCTCCTTTTTTTCCCTCCCCCCCTTTTCCCCCAAACCCCCTTCCTCCACCCTTTTCCCTCCATTCCTTTCCTCCATCCTGTCCTCCATTCTGCCCCTCCACCCCCCTTCCCCCACCCTTTTCCTCCATCCTTTTCCCTCCATTCTTTTCCTCCTTTTAATTTTCCCCCATTGCTTCTTCCCATCTTGTCCCTATCCCTTCCTCCACCCTTTTCCAAAAACCCAAAGTCCCCCCATCCAGTCCTCCCCCCCTTTCCTCCATTTTTTTTTCCTTTAAACCTGTCCCCCCAATAGTCCTCCATTATGTCCCCAATTGCTTCTTCCATTTTGGGGCCTTTCCTACCCCTTCCTAAACCCCTTCCCCCCCCCCATCCTGT